ATACTCTTGACCTTGCCATCACCAATATTGACACCACTCCTGAAGTGTCCATTTCCAACCTCCCCCCCTCTACTCACCACCTCCTTATACTTCTACACGCCTTACTATGGTGACCCCATTCCAACAATGCTTACATTCCACTGGGACGATGATCTTGCCACTCCTTCCTTCTGCAAAGGGCCTAGAAACAGTGCTAAGTGCACATGGTATCCACCATGTCCATGGTTAGCACATAAATCATCCCCATGGGCCCTCACTGTCCTCTTCTCTAGCCTAGAGTTCATGGTCCATCACTATATAACCACCTCTTTGCAAACGCCCTCACCTCCCTCACTCATTTCTCCCCACCCTACACCTGACTGGCAAACTCTACCTCTGGCTAAACCCCTCAACTATCCATCCACCCATCCCTGCACCTGAGCATCTGAACATTATTGTAGAAAATCACACAACCATATTAACTGCCCTCACGCTGTGTTTTTGACCCAGATCCCAAATGGGCACTCAACAATCGTTACAGTGTCCAGGTGGGTTCTTTCCTCCTCTTCAGGTGGAAATTTCACATCTTTTCTGCTTTCTTCATACATTCCCTACCCTGTCCCCACTACACTCTCAGCTGATGAGCTGGCTCCATGTGTCACTGAGAAAACAAAGAAGCAATCAGGTAAGAACACCCTCACCTTCCCCCTGTGAAATCACTAGCCTGGGCCCATTGACCACGGCTTCCCTCTTCCACCGCCCCCCCCCCCCCCCCTGCTTTATTGAAATATAACTGACATATAACATGTTAAGTTTGGGGCGCCTGGGTGGCTCAGTTGGTTAAGCATCTGACTTCAGCTGAGGTCACGCTCTCACCCTGGGTTCGAGCCCTGTGTCAGGCTCCACACTATCAGTGAAGAGGGATTCTCTCTCTCTCTTGCTTTCTCTCTGCCCCTCCTCCACTCGCGCTTTCTCTCTCTCTCTCTCTCTCTCTCTCAAAAATAAGTAAATAAATCTTTTTAAAGAATTTTGTAAGTTTAAAGTTACAATGTGTTGATTTGTTAGCAGCTTTATCTTGTTACGGTGAAGAATTCCCACTCATGCCCTGGACCCCAACCCCTCTCACCTACCCAAGGAATTCTTTCCCACAGGGATCCCCTCTCTCTGGCATCATCAATTTGTCTCTCTCAATGAGATACTCTCAATACACTATATCTCAGTGAGATCATTATCATATAAACATGGCGAACATTGGGGCGCCTGGGTGGCGCAATCGGTTAAGGGTCCGACTTCAGCCAGGTCGCGATCTCGCGGTCCGTGAGTTCGAGCCCCGCGTCGGGCTCTGGGCTGATGGCTCAGAGCCTGGAGCCTGTTTCCGATTCTGTGTCTCCCTCTCTCTCTGCCCCTCCCCCGTTCATGCTCTGTCTCTCTCTGTCCCAAAAATAGATAAACGTTGAAAAAAAAAATTTAAAAAAAAAAAATTTAAAAAAAAAATAAACATGGCGAACAAAACAAAGCCTCTTAGACCCCATCCTTCACAGCTAAGAGGGTTGTCTGTGTTCCTAGGAGTAGAATTGCCAGATCATATAGTAATTCTACGCCTAACTTTATGAGGAACCGCCAGACCGTGTTCTCTAGTGGCTGACCCATTTTACATTCCCACCAGTAACGTATGAGAGCTTCAGTCTCTCCGCATCCTCGCACTTGTTATTTTCTGTTGGTTTGTTTTGTTTTTATGGCCGTCCCAGTGGGTGAAATAGTATCTCATTGTGGATTTGACTTGTATTTTCCTAATGATGAAGGATGCTGAGCATCTTTTTATGTGCTCGTTGGCCATTTGTGAATCTTCTTTGGAGAAGTGTCTATTCAAGTCATTTGCCCACTTTTTTTTTCTTGTAAATTTTTCAATGTTTACTTTTGAGAGAGAAACAGAGTACAAGCAGGGAGGGACAGAGAGAGAGACAGAGGGAGACACAGAATCTGAAGCAGGCTCCAGGCTCTGAGCTGTCAGCACAGAGCCCAACGCAGGGCTCGAACCCACAAACCATGAGATCACGACCTGATGGAAGTCAGACAGTTAACCAACCGAGCCGTCCAGGTGTCCCAATTTGCCCACTTTTAAATTAGGTTGTCTTTTTGTTGTTGAGTTGTTACAAGTTCTTATATATTCTGGAAACTAGGCCCTTATTATATCTATGATTTGCCAATATTTTCTCTCATTCTGTGGACTGTTTTTTCACTTTCTCGATAATGTTCTTTGATGCCCAAATTTTTTAATTTGATGAAGTTCAATTGATCAGCGTACTTTCTTTTTTTTTTTATTTATTTATTTATTTATTTATTTTTTTCAACGTTTATTTATTTTTGGGACAGAGAGAGACAGAGCATGAACGGGGGAGGGGCAGAGAGAGAGGGAGACACAGAGTCGGAAACAGGCTCCAGGCTCTGAGCTGTCATCAGCCCAGAGCCTGACGCGGGGCTCGAACTCACGGGCCGCGAGATCGTGACCTGGCTGAAGTCGGACGCTTAACCGACTGCGCCACCCAGGCGCCCCGTGATCAGCGTACTTTCAAATACACATTTAACAAAACACATTTTATTTGGAAATTTCCAAACATACGTAGAGCACAGGATAACGAACTCCCTCCTAAACTGGTCATGAAGCTTCAACGACTACCGACATTTCGTTGCTGTTTCATCTATGCCCCTGGTTTTTGTTTTCATGGCGGTGGTTTGTTTTGGTTGTAATATTTTGAACTAAATAGCAGACATCATGTCGTTGCACCTCTAGATACTTCAATGTGCATCTCTAACTGACAAGGACTTTTTGGTTTACATAAATATCTTCCTTCATCCCATCTAACAAAATAAACAATTCATTAATGTTACCTAATGTTCACTCCATATTCAGATCTCCCCAGCTGTCTCAAAGGTGTCTTTTTTTTTTTCACTTAAACTATTGATTCAGGATCCCAACAAAAGCCACATCTTGCGTTTAACTGCTCTGTCTTTCACATCTCTTATTTTGTGAATGTCTCCTTTCCCTTGTTTTTTATGCCATTGATTTGTTAGGAAGACCACATCATCTGCCCTGTAGACTATCCCACCTTCGGAATCTAGCTGAGGTCACATATTGAAGTGTGTTATAGCATCATTTACACACAAACAAATGAGCAGCCAGAGTTGGCGTCAGAAACAGAACAGATCCCAGTAATAATAGCTAATAGCTATTTGGTACAAACTATGCAGGACATCATACGTACATGAACCCATTGAATCCTCACAGTAATCCTAGGAGCTAGGTGGTACTCTCATCCCGTGTTATTGATGAGAACACTAGGCCCAGAAAGGTTAACTTGCCCAAAGTCACACGGCTAGTAAGGGGTAGAGCCAGGATGTACCCCCAGCAGTCTAGCGTCAGCCTCTGTGCACTGCACTATTTCTAGATGTACATCTGGTCACAGAACCTTTTACGACAGACTTTCAAGGCCACGATTGAAGGGAGACCCCCAAGTCCTGTTCAGGAGCATGTGACTTGAAGTGACCCCTCTTTGGTTATGGGGATGAGAGTATCTAGGAAACTTCTAGGATTAGGAGGTAACATGGTCCTTTGAGATAGATATTATCGTCACTCTAGAGATGAGGAAACTGAGGTCCAGGGCAGGTGACATCCTTTAGGCAAGAGCCCCCTGCCTCCTAAGAAAGTTCTTTTTCAGTCTCCATAAATACTGCTTCTGGGCTGAGGGACCAACCCACGTCTGCCCGGGGGCAGCCACACCAGATCTAGGTTCTTCCCTAGTGTCAGTAGGGTTATCTCTGCCAGACCAGCCTATGGCTCCAGAAGGGGCTGCTGGGCCAAGCCTGAGACAGGAAACACCAACCCCAAGGTGTCTCCATGGGATTACTACACACAGAGGGTTAGCTAGGAGTCAGGTATGGTCCTGACTGAGATTGCAGCTAGCCCTTTCGTGGTCAAGACCCCTGCAGAGAGCTGATGGTTTGTGTGGAGGGACAGTGGCCCACAGCCTGCTAACCATCCAAAACCCCACCCCAATGCCCACAGGCTTCTGGGTCTCCTTACATCTTTATCTTCCCTGGCAGCCTCACCTTTCCACCCAGGATCTAAGCCCTTCTTTCTCCTTGGGCAGAAAAGGGCTTGGATGGAAGAGAAAGTCAGACACAGAGCCCAGACCCACTTGGGAGAATGGACAAGAGCGACTAGGTTGAATTGTATGAAGGCAGGAGATGTAATGGGAAATGTACAGGGACAGGAGTCCTGTGCCATTCTGGTGCATGCTAGGTGCATATGAGCTGGGCATCCTGTGGAAGCTAAATGCCTCTGTTTCTCCATCTGTAAGATGGGAATAATGTACTTCATGTGTCCACAGACTTTTTCCATAAGGGCCAGATAGCTAAAATTTTAGGCTTTCTGGGTCAGACGGTCTCTGTCCTGGTTAGTTAACTGTGCCCTGGGAGAAAGCAGCCATACGCAACTTGTAAAGAAATAGGTATGGCTGTCCTCCAATAAAACTTTATTTACAAAAAACAGGTGGCGAGCAGCGCTGCTGGGAAGATGAAGTGACAGGTGTGACGCTGCTCTGTGGGCTGTACAGCATGGATCACTTGAGGGGCATGGGCCAGGGGGCAGCTGCTACGGTAAACTAGAGCCCAGAGCAGACCACTGGCGGTGAACGCTTCCAGACAGGAAAGGCCACGGACCTGGCAGTCAGGTGGGCTTGGGCTCCGAAGGCAACGCAACCACCGGTCACCTCCTAACCCACGTTGGGCCGCCGTTTCTTAGAGGGCTAAACAGGCGACCAAGGCCGCCTTTCAGGGACAGAGAAGGAAGCCCCCGCCCACGCAGCACAGCCAAAGGCTAGGACCCCGCAGGCCTCAGCCCCGCCCCAAGGCGCTCAGTCGGGGAGGTGCCTCCAGCTCCAACCCCGACCGCCAGCGAGCTAGTCCCCGCCCCAGGCCCCGCCCCGGACGTCCCGCCCCCCTGTCCCGCCTCCAGAGCCTGCTCAGCGCCAGGCCCCCTGTAGTCCCCGCCCCCAGAGCCCAGGCCGGCCGCGCTCTGCGCTGGGCCCGCCCCGCGCACGTGTTGCCGTGTGCTAGGTGGCGGCTGCGGAAAAGGTGAGCGCGCGGAGGGGACTGCAGGTTCGCGGAGCCGGGGACGGGCCCCCTCCCTAGGGTCCACGCCAGCAGCGCTTTCGAGCTGCGGTGCGCAGCCTGGGGTCCGGGATGGACGCCCGGCGGCGAGCCCTCCGCGAGGGTCCCGCGGCCCCTCCTCGGCCAGCCTGAATCGTGGCCTTGGCGCTGGTGGGCCTGGGGGCGTTGGGACCCTGGCCAGGACCCTTGCTTTCCTAGCCTTAGTTTCTCCATTGGGAAAATAGGCCCAAGTGATGTGCCCCGTTAGGAGTTTTTTATTAAAATAGGCCAGCCGGTACCCCCACGTTCTTGTTTGTAGCAACTTACTTGCTAATTAAACACGTTTCAGAGGCAGGAAGACAGTAAGCCTCAACCAAAGTAAAATAATTGTGAATTCTTGTTGAAATATTTACGAATGAAAAAAGAGGACGCCCAGGACCTGTTTCAAAATAAACCAGTTGGGGGAGGAATGTGGGTGGGAGAGAGAGGAAACAAGATAGGCCATGAGTTGGTTGAAGTGCTAAGTGGCTAAGTGCTCTTTTCTCTACTTTTGTGTATATTTGTAATTTAGCATTAAATTTTGTTCTGAGATGAAAATTTTTCTGTGGACCCCTGATAGCCTGTGTTCAAATACTGTGCCTGTGTTAGTCACAGCGAGGGCTGCCAGGACAAGTACTGGGTGGCAGAAATTGGTTTTCTCAGGATCTGGAAGCTGAAAGTCCAAGATTAAGGCGTCAGCATGACGCGTCTTCTGAGACTGCTCCCATTGGCTTGTAAATAGTCACCTGTGGCTTGTGTCCTCTCATGGTCTTTCCTCTGTGTCGGTGTCCTAAGGTGTTCTCTTAAGGACAGCAGTCATATTAGATGAGGACCTACCCTCATGACCTCACTTAATTATCTCTAAATACAGTTATATCCCTAAATACAGTTACATTCTTAGAGGGGGGGCAGGGGTTAAGACTTCAGCATGTGAATTTGGAGGGAGCACAACTCAACCTTTAATACTGCCACTTTGGTAGTCTGGGGTTTTGATCAGTTTACTTAGCCTATCGTGCCTCAGTTTCCAATGCTTTAAAAAGGGGGCAGTAGGAGCTCCTGGGTGGCTCAGTCGGTTGGGCGTCTGACTTCGGCTCAGGTCGTGATCTGAAAGCTCGAGGGTTCCAGCCCCGCATCGGGCTCTGTGCTGACAGCTCAGAGCCTGGAGCCTGCTTTGGATTCTGTGTCTCCCTCTCTGTCTGTTCCTCCCCTGCTCACACTCTGTGTCTCCCTCCCTCTCAAAAATAAATAAACATTAAACATTTTTTTTAAATAAACAAATAAATAGGGGCAAGAGTAATTGGGCATGGAGTTGTGAGGATTCAATTGTTGGATAATATATATAAAGCTCTAAGAGTCGTGTCTAGCATCTAAGAAGCACTTCATACGTTGAACATAGGGCCTCACTATGGGATGAATAGTGTCATGAGGCAGTTGGGGACTTGGTGCTTATTAAACGTAATAATCATGCATTATCACAAGAGGTGTCAGCTGCTGTGCCAGACCGATTATTTTACGTATTCATATGTTTATTCATATGCCCGTCACCGCCACCCTAGTGATGCCCTTGTCCCTTGCCTGTTTGGCAGATGGGTAAGGTGATGCACAGAGAGGGAGTTTGGATTGGAGCTCTGGCTGTAGAGCTCATGCTCTTACCCACCTTGCTGTATTGCCTCAGTTACAGAGGATGTGGCCCTGGGGTAGGTCAGCCTGCAGGCAGACCCACGGAACTGTTGGCTGACTTGTCTTTCTCTTGGCTCAGGTTTACAACGGTGGCAGCGCTCATGGCAGGTCCCCTGTGGCGGGCCGCAGCGTTTGTGCAGAGACACAGGACAGGCCTGGTGGTGGGTTCCTGTGCAGGCCTATTTGGGGCCCAGATCTCATACCACGTCTTCCCAGATCCTGTGATCCAATGGCTATACCAGTACTGGCCTCAGGGCCAGCCAGCCCCACTCTCCCCAGAGCTGCAGAGGCTCTTCCAAGAGGTGCTACAGGACATTGGTGTCCCCGCAGGCCATAGCTATGAGCCTTTCACCACCTTCACCTTCCAGCCTGTGAGTGCTGGCTTCCCGAGACTCCCCGCCGGGGCGGTAGTGGGCATCCCAGCCAGCTTCCTGGGTGGCTCATTGACCAACACTGATCATCCAGTGGTTGTACATGGGCAAAGAGTGAACTGGCAGAGCCCAGCAGGTGCCCGGCTGAAAGATGCCCTGACCCTGTCCCGCGACGCCCAGAAGTTTGCCTTGGCCAAGGAAGTGGTGTACCTGGAGAGCAGTGCAGCCGCCCTACAGGCTCTGCCGGCCCCAGCTTGCCTGGCAGGAACGTGGGCACTGGGCGTGGGTGCCAAGCATGCACTGGGGCTCTATGGGGGCCCCATGAACATACGGGCTGCCTTCAACCTGGTGGCAGCGGTGGTGGGCTTTGTGGCCTATGCCTTCTCCACAGACTCTCTCACTCATGCCCTGGAAGCCTGGCTGGACCGCCGCACAGCCTCCCTGTCTGCAGCCTATGCCCGGGGTGGAGTGGAGTTCTATGAGAAGGTTTTATCCGGCAACGTAGCCCTGCGCAGCCTCTTGGGCACACACGGAGCGAAGCTGTATACGCCTAGTGGGAACATCGTTCCCAGACACTGGTTCCGCATCAAACATTTACCCTTCACGACCCGCCGGGATTCTGTGCTGCAGATGTGGAGGGCCACGCTCAACTCGGGCCGCTCCTGAGGGACTCATCACAAGGACAGATGCGGCTCCTGCAGGCACCACCCTGCTGTTGACTCTGGGGGCTCTCTTGGTGCCTCTGGACCCACAGCCCATTGTCAGATAAATCAGACTTTGGAATTAAACAGCCTAGGTTCTATCCCGGTCCACCACTCATGATCCCGGGAGCTTGGGCAAGTCCCTTTTGAATCTAAGCCTCGGTTTCCTCAGCTGTCAGATGGGGACGATGTAAATTACCTGGCAGGATTGTGGGGCAGCGTGAGTTGTGAACGAAAGGGCTTGGCCAAGAGGACATCCCTCGAAGAAATGGGATATCCCTCCTTGGTGTTTGAATACCAGCCGGCTGTGGGAGTCAGGCCGCTTCTCCCCCCTGGAGGTGCTTGCACGACGTGTACAACCACCCTGTAGTTTACCTGGTGGTCTAATCCCAATTTCCTTCTATTGTGGCAGACATTGAAAACCTTCGAGGCCCAGGTGAGAAGCTAGTGTCGCCCTGAGAGGCTGGGAAGTGGGAGCTTGAGGGAGAGCTTCAAGGGTGATGTGTCCAGCGAAGATGGCATGCTCAGAGAGAGCCCCTGGGCCTGAAGGGGAGTGGAGGTGTTGCTGGAACCCGGCAAGACCTATGGCCGAAGGAAGAGGAAGGAACAAGCCATTGCAGAACTGAGGCTCTGCAGGGAGGGAGCCTGCTGATGCATGGTCAGTGCCAGGGGAGGAGAGGGCCGGGGGTGGGGGCAGAGGGAGCTTGGTTTTCAGGGGCCAGGAGGAAGCAGGATGGAGGAGAGCGATGGACTGGGCCTGGTGTCACACTCAGGGCCCAGGAGGATATGCTGCACCCTTGTTCCGTTTCCCTTGGGCCTTCTAGTGGCAGATGGAGCAGACCCCACTTTTGGTCCTTGGACAGGAGACCCCTTCCCAGGAAAGGTGGGGACAGTTGTGGCCAGCAAGCCAGGTTCCCTTTTTTATTTTTATTTTTCATTGTCGATTTTGTTTTCCCCGGCACAGTGGAAGAATTCAGGCCCGTTGCCAAGGTAACTCAGGGCAAAGAGATCAGGCCACACCCAGGGAGCCAGGAAGCCCACTCAGTGGCAGACAGTTCCTGCAGGAGGCTGAATGGAGAGTGAGCAGGGAGGGGTGGCATGTCTTCCTTCTGGGTCCTTCACGGTGGCTGCAGATCTGTGCTCTGGCTCCATGGGGCCAGCCTGTGGGTCCCAACGTCCGGCCTGGCCACACACCCCATCTCTCAGGTCTCCGGGATGGCGCTGGGCACACACTTGGTGGATGCATAGGCAGGTGGATGAGTTAGTGAGTGGTAGAACGCGTGTCTGCTCTGGGAAGTACCACTTCAGGGGGCCCCTCAGGCTGTCCCCCGGCTGCTGCCCCCATGTATGACTGTGTGATCTCGGCTGGAGAAACATGGTTTGGGGTCTGGATTCGGTGAGCTCCATCCACTTACCACTCCCCGCCCCACTGCGTTCAATACTAGAGGAGCAGCAGGATGGCCACGCCAGGCATTCCTGCTGACTTGCCCAAAAGGGAAGGACAGGGAGCCCCCGTGGTAAGGGAAGTGATCCCCTGAGATGGCTGCTGCTTTGGCTCCCTCTAGTCCATGTCACAAACTTTGCACTCCTCAGCTGCTCCCGGTCCCCACGCATGCCTCGTGTGGCCCAATTTCCAGACCTTGGCCCAGAGCCTCCACCCTGTGAACTGCCCCTCCCCTTCCTCCCTGCTGCATTCTGCACATCGCCCAGGCCCAGGCAACCCTCAGCTCTGTCCTTGCCCTCCCCAGATAGTTCCTCCCTCCGGCCTCCTGGCCACTGCTCCCACCCCTCCCAGCTCTTGGAAAATCAGGTCTGTCTGGGTTCCATTCTGCTTAAAACTGTTTGCAGACATCCCCTTGCTTTCTGCTAGGGGCGCCTGGGTGGCTCAGCCAGTTGAGTGTCCGACTTCAGCTCAGGTCATGATCTCACAGCTCGTGAGTTCGAGCCCCACATCCGGCTCTGTGCTGACAGTTCGGAGCCTGGCATCTGCTTCGAATTCTGTGTCTCCCTCTCTCTCTGCCCCTTCCCCACTCGTGCTCTGTTTCTGTCTCTCTCAAAAATAAATAAACATTGAAAAAAAAAAAAAAGTTTGTGGACATCCCCTTGCTTTCTGCAAGAGCTGCATCTCTGAGCCTGGACCTAATGGCCTCTCTAACCATCTTGTGTCCCCTTCTCCCGGTTCTGTGGATCCTAAACTCAGGAGCACTTTGGTTCCCTCACTGCTTTCCTCTTCCGTCCCCACACAGTGCCTTGATCTGGGGTGCTTTCTCCCATTTTGCCCTTGTCTCTGTTATTTAGTGCTCTTTCTGCAGGAGTACCCAGTGACCTGACCCTGGGAACCTTCCCCATTCACGCCTATCATGCACCCTGTACCCCTCCCGAGCCCTTAGTGCAAACTGTAACTACAGAAGTTACCGTGAAGCTAATGGCTTACCATCTCCTCTACTGAAATGTACTATCTATAAGAACAGTGTTTATGTCTTGTATACTGCTGTGCACTGAGGCTTTCCCTAACATGTTTGAATAAATGAATGGAACTTTTAAGCTACAACAGGCAGGCCTGGCTCCCTAGAGTCAGAGCATTTACTGTAGGGCTGGCTGCACACATGGGTGAGGCCATATGAATCATAGGTGACCCTGTCCTGTCTTCCCAACTTGGGACTTTCCAAGGGCAGGGGCTGGCCCGGATCTTCTGTGATTGTTGTTCTGTGGGGAAACCAGGACACTTCTGGTCACTTCCTATAGAGCACAGATTACCACTCAGGCCACCAGGGCGTCCAAGAGGCTTTAGGAAATAGGTCACACCCCCCCCCCCAAATTTTGTGATATATTGTGCCCTCACACACAGATTTGGGTGTTGATCCTAGAAAGACGAAAAAGCATGCTCCAGAGCTCTGTAACAGACCAGGTGGCAGGAAGGTACCCTGTAAATGCGGCCCTGAGTCTTTCCTTCTCAGATGCCTGCAGCACGCCTCAGCTGTCAGCACTCTGCCCCTGATCCCAAGAGAACATTGTCCTGTTGAGTCGTGCCCCCCTCCCACATGATCCTGGTTCTGAGCGTGAATGTACAGAGATACCCAATCCCCCCACCCAAAACAGTGCTGCGCAGACTCCGAAGTAGGCTGGCGGATAGAAGGCTCTGTCAAGGCACACAGAACCCCCACACCCCATGTGCGCGCGCGCGCACACACACACACAGCCGGAATATAGGAAAGGGAGCCCCAGAGCCATCATGCCATCATTGGCTCTGCCCATCCCTGACCCTAGCAGCCTGACTCATCCCCAGCAGCCAGTATCCACAGTGCCATGCCCCATGTGGCCATGCCTGGCACCCCCATCCCCAGGTGTGCGGATATCACAGTCTGGGGCTGAAAGAGACCTGTGGACCCTCACACAGTGAGTCCTTCTGCCCACTACATCCCTACAGTATTGTTTATAGAGACTTTACTATGTAGCAGACACTCTGCCAGGCTCTTAGAGTCTGTTTTCATTGATCCCCCAAATTGGAACAGGTAGTTGATAATGTTATTTCAATTTAATTTTTTTTTAATTTTTTTTTTTAATGTTTATTTATTTTTGAGACAGAGAGAGACAGAGCCTGAACAGGGGAGGGTCAGAGAGAGGGAGACACAGAATCTGAAGCAGGCTCCAGGCTCTGAGCTGTCAGCACAGAGCCCGACGCGGGGCTCGAACTCACGGACCGTGAGATCATGACCTGAGCCGAAGTCGGACGCCTAACCGACTGAGCCACCCAGGCGCCCCAATGTTATTTCAATTTTACAGGCAAGGAAATAGCACAGAAAGGTGAAGAAATGGGCCCCAAGCCACAAAGCTTTGAAAATAACAGAACAAGGATTTGAAGTCAGGAGCCTGGGTCCAGATCCCCTTTGCAAACCCTTTGTTTACACTGTCCTATTTATCCCGAGGGTTTTGTGGTATAAACTTGTACTGTAACCTCTACAGCCTTTCTCCCCTGCTGGTTAGAGGTGACTCTCTAGCCTCACCTCTCATCAGGAGAAAATGGTCACTGAGCAGAGCTTTCTGGAACTTCCAGGGGAGACCCTTTCAGCTAACTGAAGAGGAAAGGACACCCGATTTGTCATATTTGGTGCTGAGGTGAGAATGGAGTGGAGGGACCAAGCATTAGGAGCCCTCAGAGGCTCTAGCTGAGGACAAGGTTACCTTAGGAAGCAGAGAGAGGACACAGACAGGATAGCCTGCTGTGGGTTCAAATGCTGGTCCTGCCACTTTAGCAGAGTGACCTTGAACAGGTGATGTCCCATCTTGGTCCCCAAGTATTCTATTAAATGGGGATATTGATATGTAGCTTACAGTATTATTTTGATAATGAAAGTGAAATAAAGTTTGCAAAATGTGAAGCCCAGTGAGAGTATATAGTAAGCTTTAAAAGAAGATTGGTTTTGGGGCGCCTGGGTGGCGCAGTCGGTTAAGCGGCCGACTCCAGCCAGGTCACGAACATCACAGTCCATGAGTTCAACCTCTGCGTCGGGCTCTGTGCTGACAGCTCAGAGCCTGGGGCCTGATTCAGATTCTGTGTGTCCCTCTCTTTCCACCCCTCCTCCACTCATGCTCTCTCTCTCTCTCTCTCTCTCTCTCTCTCTCAAAAATAAATAAACATTTATTTATTATGGGAAGATAATCTGTCCCCAGTCGAGAAGTCAAAGAAGATTGGTTTTGGGGCACCTGAGTGGCTCAATCAGTTGAGCGCCGACTTTGGCTTAGGTCATGATCCCACGGTTCATGAGTTCGAGCCCCACGTCAGGCTCTGTGCTGACACTCAGAGCCTGGAGACTGCTTTGGACTCTGAGTCTCCCCCTCTCTACCTCTCCCCCGCCCATGCTCTGTCTCTCTCTCTCTCTCTCTCTCTCTCTCTCAAAAATAAAATAAAAGACGTTAAAAAAATTTTAAAAGAAGATTGATTTCCTAAATTTCCCTGCTTTTTAAGTGATATAGGTACTAGGGTGTTCAGAGCTTGGAGTTGCTGCCCAAATACCAGCAATTCCTTGAGGCTGGAACCCTCCCAGGGAACTCACTGCTGCCTGCTACAAGTCTGTGCTTAGAACTTTTCAAAGTCCCAGTTAGGTCAGTTCCTTTGCTGAGTTGCTATCAGTTGACAACTTTTTGGAAATTACGTGGCAGCAGCTGAGAGCAAAGGACCCATGTCCCTTTGGTGTAGATACCAGGCCGGAGAAGAGGCCCTTAAAATGGGAAATAGTCTTATACCTACTATACTGGTAATTTTAAAATGCTAGACCATTCACTTTTAGGGTGGTTGCTGTGAAATTGGTACAAACGTATGTTCTTGGTGACATTTGTAGTAAACAGCCTCCAAAATGGCCCCAGTGATCCCCACTCCTGGTGCTCTTGGCCTTGTGTCATCCTCTGTCTTTACTCCCCTGGTTCAAAATGGTAGAATACAGCAACATTAAGGGGGTATCACTTCTGTAATCAAGTCACAAAAGATTGTGACTTCTGTCTTCCTAGCAGACTCTATTGTCTTCTCAGATGCATGCTTTGATAAAGCAAGTTGCCATATTGGAGCCTTGCCATAGCACGGAACTAAGGGCCATCTCTGATCAACAGCTGGCTAAGAACTGAGGCCCTCAATCCAACAGCCCATGAGGGACTGAATTCTGACAACAGCTGGAACTGAATTCTGACAACAACTGAGTAGGCTTGGAAGATAATCTGTTCCCAGTCGAGCTTTCAGAAGAGACAACAGCCTCAGCCAGCACCTTCGCTGTAACCTGTGACAGACTCTGAAGCAGAGGACACAGCTAAGTTATGCTTGGATCCTTGACCCACAGAAGCAGTGAGACAATAAGTGTGGGTTGTATGAACCACTTAGTTTTATGGTAATTTTTTGTGCAACAACAGCTAACTAATGCACATGATTAATTAACAATGGTTTGGGGTGCCTGGGTGGGTCAGTTGAACATCCAACTCTTGATTTCCGCTCAGGTCATGATCTCGACGGCTCTTGGGATTGAGCCCTGCACTGAGCTTTGCGCTGACAGCGCAGAGCCTGCTTGGGATTGTCTCTCCCTCACTCTCTTCCCTTCCTCTGTTTGCATGCTCTCTCTCTCTTTCTCTCTCAAAATAGTAAACATAATTGACATAATGATTTTAGAAAGCAATTTGGCAAAATTTGATATGACCACAAAACTGTATCTTTAGAGCCAGTAACTTGAAACCTAGAAACTTATCCGAAAGCTACGACCTAACAGAAACTAAATAGTATGTGCCCAAAGATGTACATAAGGACATTAGCAGTGATCATTAAAAAAAATAATAATAATCAAAATAATAGAAATGTTGAATAGCAATGACTTAGGAAATTATGGCACATCCATCTGTTGAATGTTGTTTGGTCACCAAAAAGCATAATTGTGAAGGTTATGATAGAAATGTAGAAATATTAGTTACAAATAGCAAATCTTTAGAAAATAGGAAGTGCTGCTTGCAATGATGATTGCAATAATGTCCCATGGGTAGGACCTGGAAAGAAATTCACAAAGTTGGGGCGCCTGGGTGGCTCGGTCGGTTAAGCGTCCGACTTCGGCTCAGGTCATGATCTCACGGTCCGTGAGTTCGAGCCCCGCGTCGGGCTCCGTGCTGACCGCTCAGAGCCTGGAACCTGTTTCAAATTCTGTGTCTCCCTCTCTCTCTGCCCCTCCCCTGTTCATGCTCTGTCTCTCTCTGTCTCAAAAATAAATAAACGTTAAAAAAAAAAAAAAGAAAAAAAGAAATTCACAAAGTTGAAAGTAAATCTGTTCCCGTGGAGTTTGGAATGACTATGCATTCAATATATGTAAGGATTTACTGCTATATATGTTTATGCTTGCGTATGAAGGCTTATTCAGAGGGGTCCATGGGCCCGCTCCCTCTCCCTGCATCAAGGTGACAGATTCTGGCATCACTGCTTTTGGCTGTGTATCCTTGGGGTGTGGCCAACCTTCTGTCTGTCAGCTTCCGTAGCCATCATGAAAATGTGCTGCTCAGATCTGCGGGGAGCAGAAGTGACTGACAGCCGCAGCTGTTGTTTCCTTTGCTCCACCGCCGCGTTCTCACTGAGGCCATGCCTCTCACAGGCTGCTTTCAGCCAACGGCTGGTCTGGTGGCCATGCTAAGGCAGGCTCATTCCAGTGAATTGAGGGACTTCTCCAGTGGGTGACTGTGGCTCCAGGACTCTACTGTATGTAACCTGGGCAGGTCTGTCTTAGGTCCGAGACCCTTCCCTACCCAATCCTCCTTTATTCCCCACTCCTTTCCAGGAGTCAGATCTACATCGTGATACGAAAGCTCCCCTCCACTTTCTATTCCCAACCCCGTTGCCCTTCACAGGCATTATCCCCCCACACATGTAATCCTGTCTTCCCGTCTATTTCTCAGAGGACCTGAGCTAATGAGATTACTCCCTTGCTCAGTCAGGTACACTGTGAGGTCCTGGGGTGCTTGCAGTCCCACGAAAGGGCCCGTCCGACAAGTAAACCTGCAGTGACAGCACAGTGAGATCGGTGCAGCGAAGGCCCGTGAGGACCAGCTTGGTGACCACTAATTTTTTTGCACGCGTAGTGCAATTTTATTTCAATCGCACCAAGTCGGTGTGTAGGAAATGTAAATGCAGCGGTACGGTAAAAATAGCAGAGAATCGAAAAATCCAAGAAAGAAGTACACATAAAGCATGAGAGTTCAACATTCATTAACGTTTCATCTTAGGTTCTGACTGACACTTGATACTCGCAAATTTCAAAACAAACCTTGAAATCGTGAGGACTGTTCTGAAGACATTTCAGCACCAGCATAAGATTCACCCATTCAGCTGGTTTGCAGTTGACTTGTTCTCCACGTACGTAGCGCATAGTACAGATCTGTCACGGGTCAGATCACAGCGTTGAGGAAAGGAGTACCTTCCTGTAATTAGAAAGGATCCCCTGGACTGCACTCAGGTTAAGACATCCAGTGTATAAGAGCATGCAAACCATCGTAACGTGCTTCCAAGAAACATTTTTCTTAAGTAGGCTGTATGCCCCGTGCAGAGCCCAACGCGGGGCCTGAACCCACGACCCTGAGATCAAGGCCTGAGCTGAGATCGAGTCAGACGCCTAACCGACAAACGCCCAGGCGCCAACAAGGAACATAATTTTTATAAAGAAAACAACTTAAGCTTCTGTTTCCTATTTTAATTACTGAAATCTCTCACAATGACAAAGTGTCACCTGTGACAGTAAATGTATACAGTGATTCAGTCAAACTTCTTAGGAAGAACACACTTGGCAATCTGGGCTCATGAAAAATGATGGAAAATATGATGGGATTCAACACTGGTTCTTTTTGTCAGATTACCAGCCATCATGTTAATAATGTTAGACCAAGGCACAGAACGTTTGGTGGGTAAACCAGTCTCCTCGTCAGAGCTGGCATTTTATTATAGTCTTTTACTCTGTACCCAGTATTCTGTCCTACCAGAGGCTGTTTAACTTCACCCACAAAAAATGATTTCTGACCAGATGTATAGGGAACATAAACATTTATGTCATCAAGCTGTTTGCATAACCAAAAGTACAATAACAAAGGTGAACGTGCCTCCCAATTTCTTTTGGAAAACAGTACTTTATAAGCTTACTGCGTCTTGACTGCCTTTACTGCTATTGCCTGACAGTGAATAGTTAGTGGAACAAAGAGCTGTTCATTTGAATTCTGATAGCTCATCCCTCAGAGGCTAATCTCAAGATGAAGTTTCTACAGAAACCGGAACTATTTGAACATGGAAAAAAAAAAAATCCCTTCAAACCTCTTTGAAGGGTAATGGCTGCCCGTCTGAAGCATCCAACTATGCCATCAACAAGCTCTGTCTCATGAGCTGACACGAAGACATCTAGACAGCCGATGAAAACGGATTATTTCTTCAGAATTTCAGTAAAACTTCTGATAATCACAGATTTCAAGGCAAATATGGCACATTATATCTCAAGCATAAACGAAGATGGAGAGAGGCTGGGTGTGCCGGCCTGGCTCAGTCAGAGAGCATACGGCTCTTGATCTCATGGTCTGGACTTTGAGCCCCATGTTGGGTGTAGGATTACTTAAAATAAATAGACAAACTTTAAGAAAAAAAAGATAGCCTGGAGAATTTTTGATTTCCTGAACATCCCCCCTCCCCAAAGTCTATCATTGTAACATATGTAGGACTTCTTCCCTATTTTAATCTTACGAGCTTTAAAGAAAAAGGAGTGGATTACATACCCGTGTGCACGCATGCACGAACATGCACGCACACACACGTTGGTAAGTAACCTAATTCCTTCTTCCCCTCACCTCACTTTATTGAAAGGAAATTACGCAGAGGTCATCATCGGTCTCCCTTTCCCTCACGATCTCTGTGACCTTAACTACTGCTGTCATTGTTAATTCTTGTATTTCAACATAACAAAATTCAAAAGCAGCTTGGTAGGCAGGAACATGTTCCTGAATACTTGTATAACTGCAGGGCGCCTAGGTGGTGATAACTTTCAAATGCAGGGGCCACACTTTGGGGTTCCACGGTAAGAGCTAATTCAGATGAAGCTCAGAATCCTGTTTCAGACCATGGTTCTCAGGGCAGAGCCACCTGAGGGAACGCCCGGGAACTGGCCCCAGGGGAGCTAGTGAAGGGTCGCCGGGTCAGGAAACACCGCAGGGGCTGGACACTGGGGAGGCCGTGCTCTGGAGGAGCCTGCGTTACAGAGACCGCCATGACAGGACCTTGAGGAAGAGAAGAATCCTGTCCTCCTCCAGCGACCCTCCAGCGCCCTCTACTGACAAGACTCAACTTAGTGTCAGCCGGGGAGGAGTACTTAAAGGGTCCCTCTCCGTTTTCTCGAAGCAGGTGGTGAAGGACGCATTAGAAGCAGTAAATTGATAATTAGTCCAATGGTCAAAGAGCAAAACCTGGCATGGCTGGCAGAGTGCAAGCAAGGGTGCGGGGGGAGATGAGACTGAGGGGCCTGGTGGGGACCAGGATATGCAGGGCCCGGTGGGCCATGGCGAGGTGTTTGGATTTTATTCTGACAGCACTGGGGAGCCTTTGATAACGCTACAGCGGGAGAGGACACGATCGTGCTTGGATCTTAGAGAGTGACTTTAGTGGACAATGGGTTGAGAGGGCCAGACAGGAGGCAGAGAGAGCAGTTGGTGGGGGAGGGGACATTTGGTAACAAAAAGTGATGGTGGTGGCCTGAACTTGGCAGTAGCCGTGAAAATGAAAAGAAGCAGGACTCGGGCTACATTTAGGAGGGAGTATCGATGCGATCTGGGGGTGTGAGAGAGGAATGTCAGAAGTCAAGGGTCAGGAACGTCCCCCAGTTCCAGGTTGGCAGCTGGGGTGTCTGGGGCGTCCCCTCTGCCTTTTCTCTGCTGCAGAGCTCGCAGACACTGAGTACCGTTCTCTGTCTCCTGGGATATCCCTCCTCCTTTACTGACTATGCCTCCATGGAAAGACTGTGGTGGTGGCTGTGAAGCCTTTCGGCCCACGCGATGCCCGCGAGCTCCCGGCTTGAGGCAGAACAAGGAAGAAGGCCTGAAGACTGTTCTCCAAAGCATCCACAGATTGTTCAGGGCAAAGGCCAATGGAGGTGAGTAGCTGGTGTCCACAGGCTGGACGTTGCCAGCTCCTTCGTCTGGTGTCCCTCTGCTTGTGCCCTCTCCTTGTGCCCCCGGCTGTGCTCGCCTCTGGCAGGCTCGGGCGGTACAAACTTACCTGGTCACCTGGACCCAAAGCCACCGTGGCTCTGGACGTCTTCCAATCTAGGTCCGTGGAGCCGTCGTTCCCCAGAGGGACCTGCCCCCTACTGCAAGTCAACGGGTCCAAACTCATGCTGTCAACCACCCCTCCCCTCCCGCTCCCCCTGCCTGCTCACAGGCTGCTATCCCTGGGCCACGCAGGCTTTGTGAAGGGCTGGAGGGTAATGAGCTGGGGCCCCGGGCCAAAGGACTCAACTGTGGAGCCAGAGCCCA